CGAGTAAAATTCTTTGACTATTTTTTAAATTGTGTATCATCCCGTATAACAAAAAATTCTCACCAATACTATTTATTATGGAGTTAATCAATCATGACATGACCAGATTATCTCAGCCTTCCAAGTTCGGGACTTTGGGTTTTCGGCACTCAATTGGGTGACTTCTCCACTAAGGTATTCTTGTCTCCCTTTTCGTTTAACTTGTGGACTACTAATTGGAATTTGAGTGGCTTCCAATTCGGATGATTTTGATAGAAATAATTTCATCAAACCAAGATTTGACTTTAAAGAGGTTATTGGCTCTCGTCATGACCATTCTGTACTTGGTGATGGGCAAGAGAGAGAAAAAAAATGTTTTTTAAGGTTCAGATATCCTACTTTAATACCATAAAAATTTGTAATTAAATTTTCTATTTATTGAATTTTTATTCATAATACTTAATTTATAACAGCAGAATATATAAGAATATATTAGAAAGAGTTTTAGTAGGGAATTAGATACAAATAAATCCCATAAAAGGAAAATATCTTTCAATTACTAAAATCGACCATAATTCCTCCTTACAGGTATAGTTAGTCACTCATCCCAGACCATGCAACATGGCATACGATTCTGATTCCGGACTTGCAGGGCACGCTCTTAAGGGGGGATGTCATGTTATGGTCTAACACACTCAAACTAGTGTCAGTACTGCAGCAAGAGCAGTGTTACAATCATAGTTAGCACTTACAAACTGCAGATAGGCCAATCCATTCACTTTGTTCTAATATAACCTGTTTTCCTAATCAACTTTATTTTAAATTCTAGATATTCTGTTATGTCAGTTGCCCTTTTCGAGGAGACAGCTTATTTCTGTAATTGTGTTAAAGGTATTAATGAAGGAAAGAAGTTTAGGCAGAAAGACCAGTAAAAGTCTCGAGTAGCTTCCTCACTCAATAGAATGAACGGTTCTGTCTCAAAGAACCCTTATCATTTAAAGATGTAAAGCTTCTCTCTTGATGCCCTCTCATATTCTCTCTTGATGCGCCCTCATATTCTTCCCCAACAAACCCATCATTAAAAAGAACTGCAGTTTAATCTTTTATTTGCTTACTTAGCCTAATCAACAAGAGGAAATAAAGAATAAGTCTTTTGAAAAATAGTATTGAAAAACAAATGCAATGTCTGATCAGAACTTCAAAAAGAAAGAGCAAACATGATGCTAGCAAGGGAGTCAGTTAGGAAATACAGAAAACCCAGTTATCCCCTTAGCATCAAACAATCAGGTTAATATCCTGAAACTCTAACCAGACACCAAAGAATAGGCTTTACAAACATCAATGATGAATTTTATACACATTACAAATGTAGATGCCATGAAAATTTGCAAATTATGATGCCAATAGCTCTTAAGATTCAGGTGCAAGAGATATAGGAGCTTTTTACCTGCTTTATGCAATAAGTGACTGCGAGAACTGCCCAAGACATCATCCCAAATCTGCAGTTTGTGAAAACTTTGATGTCAAAGTTTTTCCCAATTCGAGGATACAGCTCCATACCCTGCCATAACAGGCAATTTTGAGTAATAATATGGCCTGGACTCTACATTGTCCACATAGAAAGTCCTGAAAACAGTTCATATTAATAGAGCATTGTCTTTTTAATGTTTGATTTGGTATCTAGGATTTTCTTAAATTATTATCATTTTTCCTTCAATTTACTTTCTCAAGGATGTTCATCCTTAACGTACTTTTGAAGATTAACTTGTAGAAAGGTTTTAGGACAACCCAAATTCAGAATATATGAGGAGTTATTATATTCGGTTTAGCAAATAAAAAATATGGAAAAAGACAAGTGCACATATAAAAAGGAAAAAGAAAAGTAAGAAACCCCGTGCCAAAAATCAGCAATATGTGAGAGAGATTTTATCATTGCATAAGAGACGAAAGATTTGTCATTGTGTAGATTCTATCATTGCAGATGATGAATGGGACATATAAGCATGCAGAACTCAGCTCTTTAAATTAAAAAAAAAAAAAAAAAAAAAAAAAAACCCTGAGTTCCATGCATAATTTTATTAGGTTTGCATGGTGCAATAGACCTCTAGGATAAGATGCCATAACATTTCCGAGTGAAATCAGGCTAGAAAACACATCTGCTGTAATGTTGGAGCTATCGAGAGAAATGGTTATAGCCTGAAGCTTCAAGGCAGTATATGAAAGATCACATGTCGCTTTGTAATTCATATCTAAATAAATTTTTCAAGACACTATACTTATTATCTTTTAATAGCAGGTTCTTGATTCTGACAAGGATGGGAACCAATGAATTTAAACTTAGTCCAATAAGGAACTCATGTTCTGCATCTTCCGCTTCATATTTTCAGCATATTAACCTCATTTCTCCTTGCCACTTTCTGGGTGATATAGAAAGAACGAAACAAGAAAACTTCTAATGGCGCAGAACAGTATTTTTTATAAAGTTAAAGATGGGTGACTCCAGACCCTAGGTCATCCTCTTTACCCTATGAGAATTTGGGAATCTTACTAACATTTTGATTAATATGTACATACTTTTATACATAGGTTTACATCCCCTTAGTACTTGTGGATGAATCATATCATACTATTTTTATTTCAAAAAAAAAAAGTTCAGTACATAACAAATTAATTTTTTTTCTGGATAGAATAACAAATTAACTCACCCAATAGAAATCAATTATTATATTGCTACAAGAACCAGAATCAGTGGAAGAAGGTGCCAAATGACCCTTGCAAGAATAAAGCACTAGTGTCAGAAAGTCAGCTCAGGTATCTCAAACAGAGGAAAATCATATCATCCACAATCCTTACTTTTATGTATAAGAAAATACAGAATACGAAGCTTCCAAAAATTAGTGCTGAAAATATTTCTCCCAAATGGTCATAAACAACGGAAGGATTGAATATTCCAAACCTGAAGATAGATACAGAAACAATGTCAAATAAGCTTGAAAACTCTTTTTAACTTATTTCTCTTCTAAGATAAATTTGGTGATAGAATTGACAATAAATTTGGAAGCAACTTTATGCTTCTAAGAAAAATCGAATTGAGAATAAATAATAAATTTTCTGTGGAGAACCATACAAGTTGAATGAACCTAAGGAAGTATCAATAGGTGATGAAAGAGAAAACTACTGCTTCCATCTAAAGAGTTCTGGAAAATACTAACCGTCAAAATATAAATAAGCATGGAGAATGGAATTTGTCAGAAAGAATAGCATATCACTTTTGAATTAACAAGTGCCCTTCTTCAGTCAAAACAATTTGGAAGTGATGGCAAGAAACCCAAATTGAGAATCAGCATAATTATCAACATCAAATAAAGCACCAATCAGGAATTAAGTTTGTGATCATATATATTGACGTATGATGCGAATTATCCAACATAAGAGAAAACATAAACAATGAAATTATAGAAAGTCCTTACCACCAAAGGCCAATATAGGTGACCATTGTCACAAGATATGCTGCCACACCATTGGCCTATAAAAATTAGAATATGTAAATTACCGTCTATACAACTTTGGAACTGTAGGTACTATAAACCAAGAAGCCACTCATACCTTATAAACAGGTCGATTCCCAGCAGGAGATATGGGGCCCTCCACCCTTTTACCAGGTAGAAGTAGCTGAAGCACAGCCTCAAATGCTGCATAAGAAAATATTATTTTCCAAGCAACAGCAGTGGGCCTTGGCCATATGTTTATGAAGCCCTGTAGCCCATGCTGCCTCAAATAGTACCAAGTTTGTGCGACAGACCCATCAGCATGCACCATGGTGTACCATCTTCACAAAATATAAATTCTAAGTTAGATGCACAGTTAAAAGAGTTATGTTAAAATTTCACATGATCATGAAAATATAAACCAAATAAATAATGCACTAACTTATTGTTTCTAACTACCCAAGAAAATGAATAATTCAGTACATTTACAAAACACGTGAGAGCAGCTCCAGTTGTTTTTCAACAGTAAATAGTGCCTCTGTTTTCCTTGCAACTGATAGAAAAGAGGGCATTTCAGAGCTTAAAATAAAATAATCAGATTTTGACATTATGCAGACAGCCACATTAAATATTGCACTAACTAATTGTGTTTAACTACCCAAGAAATTGAATAATTTACACGGGAGAGCATCTATTTGTTTTTCAACAGTAAACAGTATCCCTGATTTCCTTGCAACTGATACAAACGAGGGCATTCCAGAGCTTAAACTAAAAAAATAAAATTTCAATATTTTGCAGAGAGCCATATTAAATAGCAATATACAATTATTTCGAAAGTGAGAAGAAAATTTTTCTCAACAATATAAACATAAAGAGACCCATATAGGTTCAAAGACTCCATATAGGTTCAAGATAATCAGATTTTGATATTTTGCAGACAGCCACATTAAATATTACACTAACTAATTGTGTTTAACTACCCAAGAAATTGAATAATTTACACGGGAGAGCATCTACATTTGTTTTTCAACAGTAAACAGTATCCCTGATTTCCTTGCAACTGAAACAAACGAGGGCATTCCAGAGTTTAACTAAAAAAATAAATTTTCAATATTTTGCAGAGAGCCATATTAAATAGCAATATACAATTATTTCGAAAGTGGGAAGAAAATTTTTCACAACAATATAAACAAAAAGAGACCCATATAGGTTCATAGACTCCATAAATACGTATGTACATCTGTACATCTGAAAAGACCGACAGAGAGAATAACACAACTTATGATTGTCGTATACGGCTCTCTTAAATGACCTAATACTCAATAATTTTCCAGAGGTCCGAAACAACTGTTGGTAATCCGATGACCGGAAATATTTAAAGAAAAAAAGGAACCCCTTGTCAGCCCCTTTTCTTTACCCTTAGAGTTTCTCACAACCAGAGTACTAAAAATTTTCGGTTTTATTTCTATTATCTCCAACTGATCCAAATGAGATACAAAAGCTAAATAGTAAAATAATTGAACCATCGACCAAATTTCTCACGATTGATAGACTTTATTACATCCAGGAAAACAGAAACAAGTGAAGATTATTTTTCCGGAATAATCATTTGATATATGTTCTCATTGAAAGAAACGTTTCTTCCAGATTGGCACGCAAAGATGAAAATGAGATGCAAGCTAGATGTGAAAAAGAAACAAGAGCAGGAAACATAGCAAAAATTGAGAGAAATGATACATAGATTGGAGATACTTATATATAAATATATATATATATATATACACACCATTAATTAGCACTAACAGTACTAAATATTTCTTAAGATCTAAAATCTCAAATTATCCATCCAGTTATCAAAAACACATACAAGTATATTCAGTAATAGATTTAGATTTATCATTCCTGATAGAGCTCAAGGATTTATAAATTATTACAGTCATGAAATGACGGCTTTCTAATCTTCCAGGAAATCAAAAGGTGTTTTCCAGAGCAAGGAAGAGAAAATTCAAAAGAGGAGAAAGTGGCTTACAGTAATATAACAAAAGGAGGACAGAAAGTTAGAAGAGAAAGCATTGAAGCATATGTGACGAGTGGTGAATGAACTGTTTTGGATTCTGCAGCTGCCATTCTCTCTTTCTCTGAACGTCTGTGAATACCTGAGGACAGTTATTGTAGGCTGAAGCTGCTCTGAAAATGAACTCTGTGTTTATGCGAGTCCGAGGACCAGGTAGTGGTGGGGTTGGCTTGACCTGTAAATTGTCTTTTTTTTTATTATTTTTATTTTTATTTTAGAAAATTAATAATTACTGTTTTCATGTTGAAATTTGGATTGGAATACAGTTGTATTTTATTATAATATTAAGATATTTTTTATTAAATTAAAGGAAAATAACAAAAATCACGTGATACTTATTTATTGTAATATTTTTATAAAAGAAAACACTTCTCTTTTAAGGGGAATAAAAAAACTCATTCATACACTTCAGTAAATTAGACTCTTATAATTAAGTTTATTTTAAATAAATTTTTGTTAATATTAGTTATTAATTTTTCTAAAAGAAATATAATTTTAATAAATTATTAAAGATTTGTCATAGTTTTGTTATTAGATTAAAATTATTTATAATTTCATGAATGATGTTAGTTAAAAATAATGTATAAATATTTAATAATTTATAACGTATAATTTTTAATAAAAATTTATATATTTATTAATTCGATAATATATAGGTACAAATTATAATACAAATAAAAACAACCTCTAAATGATAAAAACAAAAAAAATAAAGTCGGATTTAAACTTCTAATTTTTTATAAAATAATAAACGTACTAATCATTTAACTAAATAGTAGGTGATGAAATTTTCATTTTGGTTTAGCAGGGATATAATTTTATTTGTTATAATAAATTTGAAGAGATTATATGACAGGTATCTAATCCACAAAAATAAATTCATATTCTAACAACAAATCAAATGTAATACTCTTAATTAATTTTAAAATATTTAAAATTAGTGTATAAATATAATTTTTGAATTTATATTTAATATATAAAATTTTATTTTTAATTTTATAAATTATTAATTAATGTAAAAATGAAGAAAATTAAATAGATGATGAAATTGGAAAAAAAAAATTTGAGAAAAATGGATGAAATTTTGGGTTTTGAATGTATTTTTGAAAAAAAATTCGAAAACTGATAGTGAAATACAATTTAGGAAATTTTTGCCACGTAGGAGGCCCAGTCAGCAGTCCCGACGAACCGAAGCACGCAGAGTGACAAGGCACGCTGACTCGGTGCCACGCGGGAGGCCACACGAGTGATCCGCATGCCCGTGATCAAACGGTCCAGATTCGTTCCCGCGCGCACAGACGGTCCGGATTTGTTCCCTCCTCAGACGCGATCGGACGGTCATGATTAAACGAGATGAACGGTCCAAATTCACTTCCTATTTAAATGCAATCGGACAATCCATATTAAATCGTGATAAAAGGTCCAGATTTGTTCCCTATTTAATCACGATCGCACGGTCCAGATCAAACGCGATAGACGGTTCAGATTAAAAGGTGACAGATATAAACAACCCTCTTCATACCAAACTCTAACCTTAGCCGCCAAAGCCCCCATCGCCGAAGAAGAAGACCCAGCCGCTGGGAAGGAAGCCGACCGCCGCCATCGCCGTACCGGAGCCACTTCCGACCGCCAAAAGAGGTAAAAACTTTTTCTTTTATTTGAAATTCAATTTTAAAATCCCACATAGCCAAATCGGAGACAAAGGACCAATGAGTTGGCCGAAAACTGCAGGTAAAGTCCGGCGATGCTGCCAAATTGCATGAGCAATCGGTCTTACATGTAAAGGGTCCTGTACCCATGCCTCAAAATTTCCTTGCCAAGCTACATGAAACAGATTTCCGGAAGTCCACAGAAAAATTATTGCTAATTGCCTGAAGTGAGAAGCAAAAATATTTTGATAAAGACGTTCCTCAGTAATATCATCATGACTCTCGAAGTCATGTGCGGTAGCAATACCAAACCAAATACGACGAGTAGTGGGATCCTGAGCTAAGCCTTGGCTAAACCTTGGAAATCTTAATGCCATAATGCCTTTCAAATCCTCCTAGCCATTATCATTATCCTACTGCAATAATTCTTGCTAAGAAGAACGCCCATGTTGTGGCAATTCCACCCAGAAGGTTCCAATGAGGCCCTTTCCGATTTCCGTTATGCATAATTCTTCTACTATTATAATTACTGTAACACCCAAATAAATAAATATTTTATTTATTTATTTTCATTCTTTTTATTTATTTATTTGATTTTTTATTTAATTTAGTTTAATTTAATTCAATGAAAATATAAATAATAAAATTGATAAAATTGGGTAAAAATATTATTTGGACTTAATTGAAATTGATTTTGGGAAAAAGGGGTGAAAATTTGGATTCTGGGGGTGTTTTTGAAAAGAAAACCGGAAACTGGGGGGTCAAAACGCAATTTAAAAAAGTTGTGCCACGTCAGCAGCCACGTCAGCGGCCCGGTCAGCAGCCCCCGCCAACCAGAACGTGTCGCGTGGCAAGGCAACGCTGACCAGGGAACCGGCCACGTGGGCGATCCGCGTGCGCGCGATCGGATGGCCCAGATCTGTTCCCGCGCACACGGACGACCCAGATCAAACGTGCGCACGGACGACCCAGATCCACGCGCACGGACGGCCCAGATTCAATCAGGCACGGACGGCCCAGATTGCATCGCGATGAACGGCCCAGATTTAATCCCAATTAAATCGCGATCGAACGGCCCAGATTCAATCTTGATGTACGGTTAAGATTAAAAGGCAAAGGGTATAAATACCCCCACCCATACCTGACCAAAGAAACCCTAGCCGTCAGTGCTCGTCAGAGAAGAAGAACCAGACGCCGGAGGAGCCGGCCGCCGCCACCCGCCGCCGTATTGGGGAAGTTTCCGACCGCCGATCAAGGTAATTTTTCTCCTCCTTGCTCGTTTTTCGACGCTGAGTCCGCCTATGGCCAAACCGGAGCCAAACCACAGGCCAAACGGCCAGAAACCCAGCGGCGCCGCCGCGCCCCTCCTCAATTTTTGCCTCCGATGAGGCCCTTCCCGGTCTCCGTTTGATGTAAATTTTATACCACTGTGATCAACGTTCTTTTCTCTACAGGTTGATCAGAGCCAAACATCAAAACGCGACTCACGCTGGAGGAGCCGCCGCACCCAAGAGCACCGCCACCGGTAAGTTTCAGTTTTTCGTGATTTTTCGGCCCACCGAGGGCCATAGGGTTGTTCTATCGCAGGGACCGATGCAAGCATAGTCGAAAACGGCAGAGCCGCAATGCCAGAATTACGATATTGGCCGAAAGGGACCCTAAGTCTAATTTGAGACTTTTTGGGACACGTGCAGGTACTAGTAGTGCGTTTCAGTTCTCCGGGAAAAAATTCAGGGAAAATTAGGGACAGCCTGTAGGCGCACTGTAGAGCCGTATTCAGACCCCGAAACAAGTAAGGACCCTTCACCCTGTTTCCTATCACGGTATTAAAGTTAAATAAATAATTAAATTGTACTTTGTGACTTTATAGATGTATAATTGATTAAGGTTGCCAATGGAGCCCGAGTCTGATACAGTGTTGGTCTGTTATTGTTTGGTCTAATTTCCAGTATTAAATACAGCATGATGTTTGATGTAATTATGTTATGTCTCGTATGCATGAACTATGGTTTCTTTTATTATGGTCGGTATTATGCTTAACCCGATACTGTGTTGTCTTGTTTTGTTTCCATTACTGGTTTACATGTTGTGTGTGTTTGGATGATTGAAACCAAGAAAAAGGGTAAAAAGGTTATGTGAATTGATAAGTGGGTAATGTGGACAGCCTGACTAGATATCCTGGGAGATAGTGGACGGACCGAGTCCGTAGGGAACCCTACCGGGAACGTGGTCTCTCATACCGGACGGAGTATGGCGACCTTATGTGTTTTGGCGCTCATACCGGACGGGGTATGGGGACGACCTATTTCACCCTCATACCGGACAGGGTATTGAGATTTATGGTTTTGGCGCCCATACCGGACGAGGTATGGGGACGGCCATGGAATCGGATTATAAATGTTAAGGATTCACGGGTAGCGGGACCCCTATGGATCCCCATGGATACTAGTAGGCTGGTAAATGAGGAAAATATATTGTTTAATAATTGAAATGAAAAGGCATGATAATGTTATTGCTTTCATATATTATTTTATGGATCTCACCGAGGTAAGTGAACAGTAAAGGATTTTATTACTAATAAAAGAATTTGTTATAAATTATGCTCCATTGGTCTTTTTGTGTTTTCTACCCACCTTTACCTCCGTGGCAATGAGATAGTGTGATATCTTTACTGGGCTGGTGTAGCTCATTCCTTATTTAACCATTTCAGATCAGAAAGACATTGTTCCCAAGCCCGTTCCGCAGGAAGACGGCGAAAGGGACGCCTAAGGACTCCGTAGTTATATTTATAGTTCTCATTTTCGAGTATCTCTTTTAGTTAGTTTGTTCTTTTATATTTCGAGCACGTTTTTTATTTTTTGTAAGGGATGTTAATCAATTTATTTTTATTACGCTTCCGCATTTGACATTTTTAATACACATATTTCATTTTAAATTTTCGGGGCTGTTACAATTACTGTTTCCTTCTCTACAGGTTGACCGAATTAAAATACCCAACTGCAAATGTGAGTCAGCGGAGCCCTCACACTGGAGAACCCCGCCACTGGTCAGTTTTGATTTTTCAATTTTTGTGGGCCAATCGAGGCCCCTTAACATGCTCTCTAGCAAAGATTGTTACAAACTGATCGAAAACAACCGACCCGAGGCAAACTGCCACCGCGGGCGACAGTGTCGTTGTCGAAGCACGGCGGAGCCACTGTGCTGAAATTTTGAAATTGGCCAAAAAGGGTTCCTAACATTGATTTTGGATTTTTTTGGGTAATTTTAGGTACTTAAAGTACGTTTTAATCTCCGAAAGAAAATATAGGGAATCTGAAGACCGCCAATAGGTGCAGTCAACAAGGTTAGCACTTCAGCATCGATTTGAGTAAGAATCCATCACTTTCTTCTCTGTTATGGAATTAAAGTCTAATTAATAATAATACGATATTTTATGTAATTTAGAAAATATTCATAATTAATTACAGGTTACTAATGGAGTCAGAACCAGAAGTTATTCACTGTTAATCCTGTTGATTGATTTTACAGGTTACTTATGTGTTTACGGTTGAATTGAAAAACTATAAATTAAATGTAAACGAAAAATTTTTTAATTAAGGGAATGGATAAAACAGCAGTTTTACTAGATATCTTAGGAGATGGTGGACGGACTGGGTACATAGAGAATCCTACCATGAACGTTGCTTCATACCAGACGGGATATCGAGCTTTGGTAATTTGGCGGTCATACCGGACGGGGTATGGGGACCGCCCGCTTCACCCTTATACCGGACGAGGTATCAGGGTTTAGTAATTTGGTGCTCATACCGGACGGGGTATGGGGACGACCCGTTAATTGAAAATGTTAAAGAAAATAGTTCACGCGTAGTTGAGACATCTTTATGGATCCTCATGGATACCAATAGGCTAATAAAAGAGAAAATTATTATTCTAATCGATTACATATGAAATTATGATATGTGTTATATTATTGACTCTATAGGTTATTTTTGTAAATCTCGTTACGGTAAATAAACGGTAAATAATTTTATTTGTGATAAACGAATTTGCTTAATTAAGAGTTCAATTAGTTGTTATGTTTTCTATCAACCTTAATTTCTGTGTCGGTAAGTAGCTTGATATTCTTACTGGGCTGGTGTAACTCACTATTTTATTAATTATTTTAGATCAAGAGGATCAGGATCCGGAGTCTGATCCACAAGAGGGTTGTGAGTAGGACATTCCGTTTGTTTACTTTTAATTTATTTATTTGGTTATTAGTTGCTCTTTTAGAAGAATTATTTTTGTAAGCCCTATTTGGTACTTTCAGTTATTGTGTAAGAAATGTAAACCCTAACTATTTATTTCGCTTCCACACTAAATTTATAATGTATTTTCTTTGAAATTTTCAGGGTCGTTACATCAAAACTTGTAGTAGTGGCGAATATGGTCAAATTCACAGAGAATTAAATCTTAATATTTTTAGCAACTAGCAAATAAATAAGAGTGAAAAGACGAGGTTTTTGCTTTGAGTTGAAATTGAACAACTAATGGATTAAAACAAACCATCAAATAAAAATCAATTAAATAATATTGGTATAAAATAATTCAGCAAAATAAGAATCAATTATGAATAGTTTTCCAGTCAAAGAAATAACATATATTTTAATATATAAGGCTGACTATTGATATAAGGATAATTCTTACTAATTCTCAACAAATCAGTTTTAACTATTGGAAATGCTTTTAATAGCCAATCTTTCCTTAATTTTAAATTAACCAA